TTTTGGACTGATGCACTGCAACACCCGCTGAGTGGCATTAAACAGCTTGAAAGATCAAAGACAATTTTTTATAAAACTCCGACTGGATTCGTCTGAAAGAAGAAAGTCATATACACCTAGGATGCATTGGGGGTGAGTAAAACGCAGCCTAATTTTTATTTTTGGGTGAACTAACCCTTTAAAGTCCATCATTTTGGTATGATTAAGTGGCAGTTTCTCTCTGCAGATGATGAGGTTGTGGGATGTGATGCATCTGAAATACACAATTGAGTTTAGAGTTGTCCATTTGTTTGAGTAAAAACAAAAATGTCTATGAAGGCCAAAAGCAAAAATAGACAGAATGTGAGCCCTGCACAATGTTAAAAGAAAAACGTGATATAAAGTCATGGGATAGCTTTAATTTTTTTTTGTGACTAGGTATGTTTATGCATAAACCCAAGTAATAATTACATTACATTTACATTGAATTATTTATCAGACACTTCTATCCAAAGCGACTTAATGAGGGTAATAGAAGCAATCAACATGACAAAAGAGCAACAATATATAAGTGTTGTGACAAATCCCGGTTAGTCTAACATAGTACACATAGCAAGGTTTTTTATTTTTATTTTTTTTATAATAAATAAAAAGTAGATAGAATAGACAGATTAAAGAGAAAACAAGCAGATAGAATAGAAATAGAATAGGGAGTTCTAGTGTTAAATTAAATTAAAAAAAATTCTAACATTATGTATTATAAATTCAATGTCTCTGTTACTTACTTAGTGGAGAAGTGGAGAAGGATCCTCAGCTTAACAGAGCTGCTCACACTTACATATGACCAAAAAACTAAAAAGAGAAAAGAACGTGTTTGTTTGGAAACCAGTTACAATTTTAAAGTTAAAGGGGTCCTATTATGCTCTTTTACAAAGCCTTGATTTTGTTTTGGGGGTGTACTAGAACATGCTCTCATGCTACAAAAAGGGTGGGAATAAAGAACCCTAAACTATAACACAAAGAACCATTTCAGCATAAAAGGGTTCTTCAGGATGCTATGGATCTAAATAGAACCGTTACTACATGTAAAGAACCTTTAAAGAACCATCTTTTTTTTAGAGTGTACGTAGGCTACTTGAGTGACCATGCATGGTCCTCTCAAATAGCCACCGTGACCCAGATAGCACACAAAATTATATTCCAATATATAATTTCATGACGATTATTTCCCAGGATTCTGCAATGTCTATTATAAATTCATATTTGAATTTGGTCTCTGCATTGTTCCAGCAATGGCTCTAGTTCTCAACTGAACTGGGGTGTGTTTCCCAAAAGCATCGTTAGCTAATATGGTCGCAATTAGTTCCATTTAACTCTACTGGTGACGACGGAACTTGCAACCATAGTTGCTTTTGGGAAACACAGCCCTGAACGTGCTGGAGAAGCATTACTTCTAATTTGGCCAAAGAAAACTTGTTAAAATCGACATTTTTCTATATTAATTTCTGCATTTTTCAAATGTTTATTAAAGGTGCAAAAAGTCATGAATAAAAATCTGAAAAGAAGTCAATATTTTACTTTTTTAGGCAGCATTTTGTGTGTGCGGGTCTAATTTCAATTTTGGTTTTTCAGCATAGCATTTAAAAATACAACTGTTCTTTTTTTTCGTCATGGCTAAAAAAGGAAAAATTCATGGACACAAAAGTACCCTATTAAAGGACCCTATTAAACCTGCTTAATCAGGTATCATCTAAGAATCAGTGATGCCACAGATGGGCACAAAGACAGAGACCAAACAATTGACTTCCATAGTATTTTTTTCTATGGAAGTGAATAGCTATACCAGCAACTGTTTGGTTTGGAACAAATGAGGGGGAATAGAAATGTACTGAAATTTTACTCACCATCAGGCCATCAAAGATGTAGATGAGATTGTTTGTTCATCGGAACAGATTTGGAAAAATTTTGCATTACATCACTTGCTCACCAATGGATCTTCTTCAGTGAATGGGTGCCGTCAGAATGAGAGTCCAAACAGCTGATAAAGACATCACAATAATCCACACGACTCCAGTTCATCAGTTAATGTCTTGTGAAGTGAAAAGCTTCATGTTTAAAAACAAAGCCATCATTAAGGCGTTTTAACTTTAAACGTCCAAAACGTAAAGTCCATACTCCATAATAATGCTTGTTTAGAACTGTTTTGGCGTGTAAACTGTGCTTGATCTGTGCATACTGTATTTCTCTCCTGATTCAGACAAGACAACTTTTTCACTGTAGAAAGCAATATTGTGGATAGAGGACATTTTAGCCCGTGGAAGTTAAAATGGGTTTAAAGTTAAAAACTTTATGGACTTAATGGATTTGTTTATTACAAACATGCAGATTTTCACTTCACAAAATGTTAACAGATGGACTGGGGTCATGTGGATTACTTTGGACTCTCATTCTGCCGGCAACCATTCACTGCAGAGGATCCACTGCATGCAAGTGATGTAATAGCAAATAACGGTTCAACAAAAATTTAACAAAAAGTTTTAAGTGCTGAATGTCCTTAACCATATAAACATGCATATAAAGATGAAACACTACTTTTTTATTTACCAGATTAAACCTACTAAATCAAGTCCCATCCAATTTATACATAAGTGGAACTGACCAGTTTCACAAGTTACTCTCACACTTCCTGTGCATGAAATCACAAAAATATTGAGAAACTGGGTCTTGGCACAACACCAAAATACCAACAAAAACTCACTGAGAAGTCACATAGACCTCATGATTATGATTAGCCTAGTAAATGTATGTACTGTATGTCTACACCTGCATATAAACGAGCCACCTTTGGCATGGGAACACCACATTTTTGTGATGATTTCATCAGATTTCACTTTCATCTGCACATTGTATTAAAGTGAAATATGTTTTCAGTCTCAAAAGCTTTGCATCTAAAACTCACTCATTGGGCAAGAAATGTTTACATGTACACATGTACGATAACTGCACATACAAAAGGCGCCAAATACAGCAGGGTTTACTAGCAATGTTTACTTCTAATAAACCCTGCTGTCTGTTTTCTTATTAGTGTTGCAGTTTCAATCCAACTCTCGAGAGGGCATAGTCAAAGCAACCATCACTCACAGGAGGGGCTGCCTAGCAATGCGGGTCTCTAGAGAATAAGAGACAATATTTAAGAGTGCAAACTTGGACTTTAAGATTTATTAAAATATAAGCACTGCAGATCTTCATATGCAAAATTTTTATTTGTATGTTATTGTCATTTGTTGTGGCAATTTGCAAATGTAGCTGAATTATGCTACACATTAAACAAAACCACTTGACATCTGGTCATGTGAGTTACAGAATGATATTCATTGTTTTCAGAAAGAACGCATGTAGTTACACTGTGAAAATCTTTCATAAACAATCTACACTTTAATATTAAGAACTGGCAAGGAAATAGAAAGGACAAGTAAATATATATTCGTATATTTGTGAAGTCTGTACAGGGAGTTTTAATTGCATTTGACGGCTTATCATTGCTGTCATTCAGAGAACCAGAGCTGGGTGTTCTATTAGTGCCATAGTTTATAGTGCGTGAAGAAGGATGAAAGATTCACTCACCGTTCCAGTCCTGCTTTTTTTTTCAAGGTGAAATAGTCTGTGCCCTTTCAAAAGTGAACGCTGGGTCCATGCTGGGTCAGTTTAAATTCACAAGTGAGAAGTTTGGGAAAAAACTGTTGACTAAGCTTTGTCACCGTTTAACACTGTCTGTTTTTATTCCGCATGTGTATATGTTTTTGTACATCTTTCTTTCTGTCTCTTACCCTCCCCTGATACCACGCTCTGTATGGCTGGGGTGGGAGCTGCTTTCACTGACATTTATTATCAAGAGATGACATGGTTACTAGGAGAGGGAACAGCACAAGAGCTAGGCCTATTGTTGCTGTGGGATGCTTTCATAGATGTGCACTGTTATTTTTATTAATTTAAAATATGTTAATCTGCAAAATTGTATTTTAAATTTATATGTATATGTAAATTTACTTTGCATTTGATACAATACAGTGCTGTGTAAAATATAATACACACGGATTGTTAAAACTAACACTATGAAAAAAATCGAAATAAAAAATAAACGTTAACCAAAATAAAATAAAATCTCAAAACTTAAACCTATTTTATTTCGGCTAGTTGGCAAGGCAACATTTCTTATTTTCATTTAGTTCAGCTTGAAGTACTAAAAGAACTGAAACTAAAAACAATAAAACTATACATAGGCTACTTGAAAAACAACAAAAACAAATTAAATGGCAAAATTACTAAAAATTTACTAAAATTTCAATGAAAACAGACAAATAAATAAATAAATTTGCCTGAGAAGTCTTTCCACCCATGAGATATTCACCCGTTTCACCGGTTGTATTACTCCGCTTGCAGCATTTCTCACATCAAGTGTCATGGCAGACGCCCAAATCCACTATAATTTTATAAATAATACTGTTTTTGTGTCACGGAATGTAGTTGTTTAGACTTCAAATATATTGTTTGTTAATAAAGAAAATATCTAAATATCATAAATCTAAATTTGCTTTGATGTTTTCAGAGATGTAAGCTCCAGGGCGTCTGCAGCTGTTCAGGGCATTAACCGCTAAGAGCAGCCTTACTTTGGCCAGTTCTTCAGTGAGCTTTTAATGAAGCAACTCAACGTTCCTTCGTTACTAGTTCTAAAGTGACGTTTTCAAATTAGTAACGGAGGCTTGGGCTCAACTGTTAAACTGTCAACTTGAGATTTGAATCCGTGGCAGAAGAAAGTAGTTCTGCATACAACCAGGACACTTCCTGGTTACTTATTTACACACTTGTGTCGTCGAACTGTTGTACAAACGCAATATCACACCCGTACCCGTGTGATATCGCTCTATAACAGCATGGCCGTGATTACCTGCAGCCTCGTGCCTACAGCCGAATCACAGCCATGCTGATATAGAGCCATATTACGGGTACGAGTGTGATATTGCTCATATATAAACTAATTCAAATTTATTTGAATGATTGATTTGTACAGCCCAAATAACCAGAAGTTACCATTTATTGTGTGGAAAAAGTTAGTAGATCCCTACATTTATCACTATAGAAAGGGCCTAAAAATATTGTAAAATAAGTTTTATTTATTTTATTAAAATAAGTTTTATTGTCCTCATTTGTAAGTCGCTTTGGATAAAAGCGTCTGCTAAATGACTAAATGTAATGTAAATGTAAATAGGTGCATACACCTTATATAAACTTCAATAAACTGGTCTGGTTTGGTCTTAAAGTTCACCCAAAAAATAAAAAAACATTCTGTCATGACTTTCTTTATTCTGTGAAGCACAAAAGAAGATTTTTTTTACCTTCTTCAAAATATCTTCTTTTCACAGAAAAAAGTCAGTCCCACCAAGTTAGAACATCATGAAGGTGAGTAAATCATGACAGAATTTTCATTATTGGCTGAATTATTCATTTAAGCATGAAAGAACATGGCACCATCATGCCAAGATTAAAAGAGGAAGGTTTATGAGTCTGGAAAGCCATTTAAAAATCACTTCTTAATACTGTTCAAATAAGGTTTGAGCATTATTACACACATGCAAAGAAAAAAGACAAAACATTTCATAAAATGTACTTACTTTTCCACAGACACATAATATCTGGCACTGAAACAACAACTGTAACATAACCCATGGAAAATCCATGGGACAGAACCGACTAACTTTTTGGTATTGTTGCATACTGTAAGTACATGATTAAGAGCTTTTTGTTCTATTTATAACTCATGAGACTGTGTAGATGGTCATATGGTAGTGAATGTTTAACAGCACGTTGAACGTGGCTGGCAGTGACATCCTCAGTCAACCTTTTTTTTCATTTTTGACTATTTCTCAACTTCCTCCTTTTTCGTCTTGATCATGTATAACATGTCAGGATTCCTCTTTCAGGATTTACTGGGTAGAAACACCAAAATTACATACTTTTCGGTGTTTCTACAACATTATAATGTTAGCGATATTCATATTTCTATTACATACATATATATATATATACACACACATATATATATATATATGACAAACTCTGAACTTTGATCTATACACAAAAGTATTAGATAACA